CTTCATCCTTCAACTAGCTTAAGAAAACAAGTTATATCTCTTCCAAAGTGCTTGCGTTTCTACCCTATCGAAGTTTTCAATGTGCTTAGAACGAAAGAGTGAGCACTCGTAGGCATTGAGGCAAGGGAGTTCTAAACAGAGGAAGCATAGGATTTTACGGCTAGATGAATGGGTTACTTCTACCGTAACAGACATGGTTCCACAGACCAGTTAAATGGGTATTAACACGTAATATCAACTTAATATTGAATAGAAACAAGAGGAAGAAATTAGGAAGTATCTAAACCAAATGAGAGAACAAAAAGATAGAGGACTATGGAAAATATTACTCAACAACACACCCATATAAGTAGCATAATAACACTAAAATAAGCATACTTGAATAATCCAAAATCTATTAATGAGAGAACATCTAACTCTAACAGAAGCACAAAAGAAAACAATTAGTACAACCCACTTCAGAGTTCATGAAAAACAAGTGTACTCCAATTAAGCACAAATCACCAAGTCCTAGTGATCAACTAGAAAATAGAGCAATTTAACTTAGACAAATAGAGTTACACTTTTCCACCAATAATTAATGAGAGGGAGATGAAAGAAAAAAAATCAAAGCTAAATGAAAGAAATTGGAAAAGTTGCATTCATCTTAATTGCTAAAGTTACAAAAGCAACGAAGAGATCAAGGATCTTGTGAAGGTCATAGATGGAATGAAATTTTTTAGTTAGCCTTAATACTTTTAATCAGAAATAAAGAACTAATAGCTTGATCTATTTTTTCCATAGTTTATCACCGTCACCAATAACACACAGAGGAAGAAATAGCAATCCAAGCTAAAGTGTAATCAGCACAGCATTGTACACAACCACAAACAAGGCATTGCCAATTATGAACAATATTCCATGAGTCAGTATGAAGAGAGAGAAGACACAAACAACCATACAAACTATAGTCTATGGAAATGTCATCTAATAATTCTAATCAAAAGAACATATTGGAAATTAGAATAAGGCATAGAATATATTTCAGTTACAAATGAGAGTGGCATAGTGGACGGCAAACATTAACTTCCAGTTTGTGATTACCTCCATCTTCAGGAATATCAGAAGTCCACAAAGTGAGATTGTCCCTTAGAAGTTGCATAATCAATGTGCTGTCCTTGTAAGACTCCTCACTCAAAGTATCCAACTCCGAGATTGCTTCATCAAAGGCCTGCTTGGCAAGGTGACAGGCTCTGAAATGAAAAGTATGTTGCATGAGTTTTTTAAAAATAGAACATGAACATAAGTGAAAAGTGATCCATGAATTCTGTCAGGAAGACTTTAACATTAAGCATACCTTTCGGGAGAGTTCAAAATTTCATAATAAAAGACAGAGAAATTCAAAGCCAAACCCAATCTGATGGGATGGGTGGGAGGTAACTCAGCCTCAGCTGTAGAGGAAGCTGCCTGCAAATGTAAATTATCAAGGGTCAGCCGTTGACATGAACTAGGGGGAACTGTGGAACAAAAATTGAAAACCTGTAACTCTTGCAGTCTTCGCTACTCAGCTAAAATTCAAATCACTAAAATCAGTACAACTACTCATTGACTTTTCAAAGACCCTAATTATCTCTCAGCATTGCAAAAAGGAAAAGATTACATATGACAAAACCAGATTTATAACCCATAAAGTTGGCAGTGCTTCGTCAGGGATACATGGATTGGGGAGAAAGAACAGCACAGAAACAAGAAGAGTTTGAGAAGCTGCGTCAGCTGACATCTAGAGTGTGCTTAGAAGGCAAGTTATAGACTAAGAACGGACAAATAAAGTTCTCAAGGATAAACATTTAGCAAACACTCCTCTCCATTTCCTCTCTGTATCTCACCAAGCAAGGATGATTTCGGGCTCATATATCATCAAAAAGTTCAGAACTTAAAGTACTTGACAAGATGGTGGAATAGTTATTAGCATATTTGACTCAACTAACCAGAGCTACAAGAATAAATTGTTAGATATAAACCTTTTTTTTTTGGGGGGGGGGGGGGAAGGCAGGAGTCAATTAATACCTTGATTGCATCCACTTTGGCTAAACCTATACTAACATTTGTCGCTTGATATTAGTGAAAAATCTGAAAACCATCAAGTAGCATTTTTCTTTTCAGGCTTCAGATGCCAGATTCACGCCAATTGCCAAGCAAACACATAGTTCAAACATCATGAATCACAAGGTTTTGCGGTGAACCAACTTAAAGATATTTAAAACAAGACAAAGCAGATGATGATATAAGATTTATGAATTTGATTAGACCTGATATGCTTTCATGGATTGATCGGCTGCTTCTTTTCTCTCATCACCAGACTTAAACTCTGCCAGATACCGATAATAGTCACCTTTCCTACATTACAGGAAAAATGCCAAAGAGTAAAAATTCTGAAATTTAAATTCTCCAGGGAAAAAGCTGGAAAAAGGAAAAAGAAAAACTTAGAACCAAAATCAAATACATTTTGTAGAAAAACACGCTGGATTCACCACCAGCGCACGAGGGAATAAGATGCTCATCCATAACACTCATGATATCGCTGCAGATATTTGACAACTCCGACTCCACCTTCTGTCTATACTCCTTTATGCGTTGCACACTCAGATCGTTCCCCTTTGCTTCCTCTTTCTGCTCAATCGAAGACAGAATCCTCCAAGATGCTCTCCTTGCACCCACAACATTCTTATACCCAACTGAGAGAAGGTTTCGCTCCTCAACCGTTAATTCAACATTCAGCTTAGCAACCTTCTTCATGGCATCCACCATTTCTACAAAAAAACAATAAAAATTAGTAATTACATCGTTCTCAAACTCGGCTCCAATTTTACTTGCACAAGACTAAAACAAATCCCACCAAAAATAAAGACAAGAATAGCTCAGACAAAAACAAATAAACTTCGAACGGTTTCTCCCCGGTGAGGAAAAATCTTCGCACAGATCGTTAATTCCCACATAGTAGAGTCTCTCATTACTGAAGCAATGAATAACAGAAACCTCAGAAGAATAGAGTAAGGGAAAGACCTTCATAGCGCTCAGCTTGCTCAGCAAGCTTGGCGATGTAGACAAAGTTTTCACGTTCCTTAGTCGACGCCATAGCCGATCTGCTACCTTCTCTCTTCTTCCTCGCAGTCTGGTCTGAACTTTCTCTCTCTAGATATGACGCCTTTTGCTACCTTACTCTGTTTATAGTAGTAGCAATTTGGCGCAATGGAAAGTTACAAGGCGGTCGCGGTTGGTGAATGACGGGCTGCGATATCGGAGACCGTGGGACATGGAGACAGGCCGAAGATGATGCCCACTCGCGGTTGGGAGAGTGATCAATGAAGTTGAGAGGCAGTGTCCACGTGTCAGAGCGTAACTATGGAAGTCCCGTCAAGTTCTGGTGCAGAGATTGGGATTGAACGAAGAAATATGATTGGGATTGAGCTGGCATTGTGTCTGATTATCATTATTTTTCCTTTTCTTTTTTTGGTGAGAAATTATGTTTACTTAATATGATGACTGAAAATATTTATTTTGGTCACCAAAGTGATAGAAAATAGCCTCAAATTTAAATCATTAATATATATTTGGGAAAATTAATTTGGAGGTCCTTTTAGTTTGCATCAATTTTGAATCAGGTCCTTAAACTTTTTTTCCTTTTTATTAGATCCTTTAACTTTCTAATATTAATACCAGTACTCCTTACCGTTAAATGTGAACAAACACCGTTAAAAATTTCGTTACATCTCCTTCCTTACTGTGTTCTCCTGAGTCCTGACCTCACCGTCCCTCCTTACCTTTTTGACCAAGTCCTGTCTCCTAGGAAGGAAGAAGGCTCATGGCTCTGACGATGCGAGTCCAAGCACAAAATCATTCATCAAACTTCTGAAAACCTCCTATTCCACTTATTCATCTGATATATTTGTCTTGTAGGAACCCAGGGCCTTTATCATTCCTCCACTGCTCTGATCGTGTAGTCTTGCTTCTCCAGATCATCACTTTGCCGCGTTATTTTGCTCCCCCACGCTATTGCTAAATGACTTTAGAAGGGTCATAGCACAGCTCCTACTCTGTTCCCCAGGCTTCTTAACAGCCATCTCTCTATTATCTTCTCCACTCCCTTTGTTTCTTGCTCCTTCAATCACTCCCTTTGATTCTGTTCCCATTTTTTTCTCAGGTGTTATTATCACTGTCCTCCACCTTATTACTAATTAAAGACTGGTTCTCTTTTTTCTAAGAGTTTTTCTTGATTCAAGAGTTAAATCGAATGCTCCTCTCGCTCTTGAAAATCCTATGAACTTTTTTCCTTCGATGCAATTTTAATTGGTAGATGCATTCGATTTTTTTTAGTAGAACATTCGATTTATTTGCTCCGCTGAGGAGTTCGTCGCATGTATGCTGAATCTTATGGGTCAATTGATTGACAATCTATTTCTTAGGAAATCTTGCGGCATTGGAGAAATTTCAAGGAGAGGACAAGATGTGAAGGATGATGAGAAAGGGAGAACGTTGCGTGAGGAGATGAGATAACAGTGTTTATTTTTGCTTAACAGTTTCTGGTTAAAAAAAAATCACTTAACAGTAAGGGCTAACGATTTTAACAGTAGAAAGGTAAAGGATCTAATAAAAAAGAAAAAAAGCTTGAGGACTTGATTCAAAACTAATGTAAACTATAAGGACTTTTAAATTAGTTTTCCCTATATATTTTTATGAGTCATTTTTCGCAATGATCCTTTCTCGCGTCCTACCCCCAGGCCCCAGCCCTTTCCTCTCTTTTCTTTATTATTAAGTTTTTATTTTAATTTTTTCAACCCCAAAGACTCTAAATTCACTTTAACCAAAATTAATGATTGGTCAACATTAGGCTGGTTATTCGAAATATACAAAAAGCTAAAAGACAACGTATCTCTCTATTGAAGTTGCAAAATTTTTATTACGTACATGTAAATGCTACTTTAAACTTGCCCCAAGCCCCCAACGATTCTTCTGAGCCGAACTTGATATAAAGTATTGTTGTAAGGATATTGATGAACCTTAAAATAGAATACTGATATGAAGTATTCTTCTGAATTGTAATTTTACATTCACTGGTTACAAGCTAGCGCTCAGAATTGATCACATCTCCAGCTAAAGAAGATGTTTCTTCCTGCCTCATGCTGTCAGCAACATGAGCAATTACACCTATACCAGCGCTGTGAAGCCTCTCATCTTTCACCTGAAATCATCGCAGAAATCCCAAGTTAAGAACCCCAGAGAAAACCAACACCACAGAAGGAAAACGCACTTAAGATGCTTATATATCTTTTTCAAGTATTGATCCAATACATGAATATAGTTATGGGCAAAGAAAGGCCAGATTGCTGAGTGGAAGTTGACATCGACTTTTTTCCATCCCAGCCGCTGTAATCCGCGTACCATCTCCTCTGTCAATAGAACACAAGTCAGTTTTAATCATATAGAGATTAGTTACCCCACTGGAACTTTCCTGGTCTGTAATTTAGTTGTTAGGAATACCAATTACCTTCCATAATTTCGTAATATTCAATAGCATTCTGTATAGTTGGTGCATTTTGAGTTGCCTCCTTTGCTTTTGCTGCCTCGGGGGCAAAATTGGGGCCATCTGAGGGAACTGGCGGGCAATCTTCGACATTTACAATATGCTCGTATCCGTCAATTGATTGGTTAGGAGGCTGCCAATGAAACATACAGATTAGACATTCTTGACACTTTCCAAGTCACATTCTTTTTCCTACTTCATCCATTAATTTCTCTTTCTTGTTTGAAATACAAAATCCCTCCAAACAGCCAGCACCTAGGAGTAACCACAAATACCATCCATGACCTAATAGCCCCTTTTAAAGGATTTTTTTTCCCCTGGCGACGCCATGGATAGATCTACTCATGCATGGGTAACTACCATATCATTCAGTTTTTGATCCAGGAGTTAATCTTCTGCCAACAAAGTTTTGCCTCTATAGTGGAAGACAGAGAGAAGCTAGAGGACAGGATGGCCTTTTGCTTTTTTCGGCCAACGAATTAGATAGGATACTAATGAACTGACCAGCAGAGTTGAAATAATAAAAGCGTCTTGACCATTTTAAATGCCAAGGCCCCAGTCAACAGTCAGACCAGTAAAGTTCTCGAGTAAGAGTAAAAAAGCCCACTAACAGGAGTGAAAGTGAATGCATTATAGTCATGTGTGGCGGGGCCTTCATTCTGTCAGATGTTGTATTCACACATTAATAATGCCCCACTTAAAGTGTGTTGTGAACGTTCTATTGTTATGTACTTTACTTCGTTTGTCATAATTATGTTTCTCACGTTGATATGTAGTCTCCATGGAGTACGGTACTATGGAGTATGGACCTCCATTTTGGGCCTTTCATGAAACGTGATCGTTCCACTATATTCATACTCAATAAAATACGTGCTTGATTTAAACCTACAAACTAATTTGACGTAAACCCGAAAAAAAAAAAAAGAAGCCCAAACTAATTTAAAGCTTAGAGAGACTGGTTCCAACTTTTGAGATTAAGAATAACACTGAGAATCCTACCATCTGTTTAATTTTTTTAAGGGAAAACCATATTGGAGGTACTTATACTTTCTCTCAATTTTCAATTTGGTTCCTATGTGTTTTTTGTTCTTAACTAAATCTTTAATTTTACTCTATAAACATCATTAATCCTTATGTAGAGACTAAAAATATCAATAGAACAAAGTTATAAGAGCTAATGTTGCTAAAAAGATAAAATTAAATGTTTAATTAAAGGGAAAAAAACACATAGGTACCAAATTAAAAATTGAGAGAAAGTATAGGTACCTCCAATATGGTTTTCCCTTTTTTTAATGCAAATAGTTTATGTGGAAGTGAAGGTCGTCCATCAGAGACAATAGCCATAAGAAAAAAAACTAAAGGAAAAACAAATCCAAAAGAGTGATTGTTGCATTCACCTTTCCAATCTCAGTTTCCCTCCTTATTGAGGAAGTACGCCACCCAACCATATCTATATAAAGTCAAAGAAATTACCATGATGGAAGGTGAATAAGGATATAAAATGTGAGATTCAAGAGGATACGATCATATGAAACATTAGCATATGCCACACGACATCTAAATGCTCCTAGCGCAGATCTACAGAAAAATGAATCATATAAGCACTGGCTTGAGAGTCTGAGTCTGAGACATAAGAATCTATAGTTAGTACAGGGTTTTCTTGACTTACATGAACTTTTCATTCTCACAATCAGAAGCCATTCTCAATAGAAGGGGTGGTTTGTTCGGTTTACCATCAGTGAGGAACAACTGACTACCAGTCTGTCCAAATAATAGAGGAGCCAGAGGTGGAGCAAGCTTTTCAAGGATAGACACGCCAAATAGAAATGGAAGCTGAAAAATATGCACGCAATCAGTGAAAATGCTTGTGACGTGCATATTTTCCTCATGATAAAGTAGAAGATATAAAGGTAAAAATTTCGAATGCCCTTGAAGCATTTGGAAGGAAGACAAATCCTTGAGCACTAGCAACATACCGGCGCTTCTAAGTGAAGAAGCATAACTCATCCGCCAAAATGTAAGTATCATGCATTGATTAATTTTTCTTAAAGATATTAGAATTTGGAGGTACAAAAGCAGTGTGTGGTTAAAGCATCAGAGAAAAGATGCTGATGAGTATAAACAAATGACAACAGACAAACCAACTGTAGTTCAATAGCATGATTCAAATGAAACACTTTTGTATGCTAACCAAAGTATCACCTTAAGTTATGTTGTCCAGAACAAACCTGCTTTTTCCCCCTCACACCAAGATGGGGAGTTGCTAGGGTAATAAAATTGATTGGCTCTAATCCAGCAATCACCCCTCCAGTAGACGAGCTTGTTCTCTGTGAATTTTCTACTACGCAGTTTTTGCTAGGTTTGTTGGCATTACTGGTATAAGATGAATAGAGAACAGCAATTGCACTTCTAGCAAATAGGCCACCCAGAGAATGGGCTAGAAAGGATATCTTTTTTAAGCTCTTTGTCTTCCCTACAATTTGCATGACCTGAAATAATAATAAAATAACCATACAACCTGAAGCAGTGAAAACAAACTTCAATTTATCAGAACCAAAATTGGAGGTCCTTAATCTAGATACATTAGTTTGCATATATTTCAGGACTCACTTCATCAGCCAACTGCTTTCCAGCTTCATCAATCCCAACTAATGTCTTAGAGTAAGTGTTACAAGAACTCGCTGCAGACATCAAATAAGCAAAAGGACGTCCACTTAATATTTATTTTAGACCCATGAATTGAAGCACTCAACAATTGTTCTTCTCAAGAAATATCATTTATACACATTGCAGGTCAATTATCATCACCGCTTCGATAATAGGCTAACTACTGTTCAACTGATACACAAAGACTCTCACATTATAAAAAGAAAAATGATCAACGAGTGAGAATATGGTTTTGCTAGCCAACCCAATCTCGGCAGTGTTCAGCTAAATCAAAGTAGATATAGTTTCACTAGATTAAAATATCCCATTTTGTTCGCTCCAATCGATCACAAAACCATTTTGAAGTTCTCAGTGGTTTCATAATCTTTGAGCATGGGATACACACACTTCCCACCACCTTTAAATGAGAGCTTAGGTCATTTTGCAATATAATAAGACTTCATACAATTAGGTGTCTCTTAAAAAGTATCGGTTTAGTCTAAACAAAGATAATGCGTTTAACACAAGTAAAATAGATATGAACACTAGATACCATAAACTAGGAAACTTTTTCCAAGACGCCTTTTCAGCTCTGCTTCTGCATATGTCCAGTCACTTGGGCTGCATTAGTTAAGAAATAAGTCATACGGACAAAACTTAAGAGCAACAGCCAAAAGAATGAAAAAACCTTGAAAATTGTTGAAAATACTCATTCTACACTTTTACACTGGAAAAAAAAAAAAACAAAGAAAGGAATAGCTTCAAATGAAGAATGTGAAATAAAAGCATTAACCAGATGAGCTTTACAACACACTTGTACTCAAACTTGAACACAGAATTGCGCAAGCAACATTTGAAAAAAGATAAATGTACCTAGCCATGATACCATGAACAAGAATGAGGAGATGATCCGGGCCATTATCTAAATTCCTAGTACTTCTAGCTATAGACTGTCCTTCCGCAGTAGCAGTAGTATCCATGGCTTTAGCTATAATACCTTGGTATCTCTGTCCACTGTTTTCACCTGCATAAGTTTATCTGCCAGCCTTAACGTAAACAAGTGGGAAATTTTGGAAAGCAAGAATATTTTATTAATATTTGAAACGAATATTATTATGTTATTTTCACTGGAAATAATAATTTAAAAGGAGAGGGTTGGGAGAAGAAAGCCATGGAGGATATATCTAAAATTCAACACACAAAACGCCACACCAAATATGCATAAACCACTGTCCTACATGATCATGGAGATCATAATCACAGCCATGGGTATACAAGTAATTTGACAATTTTAGGCAGACAGAATTGCATCTCTTTATCAGTCATGATGAGGAAGAAAATTGCGTTGCGCCATTGCACCATATCTAAAGTTCTAGATCAGTATCACGTGATATACCAGCAAACTCTTGCCCAATTGTTTGTATTACCGACATGAATTACAATGTTTTTGAACTGAGCAAAACCCACTCCTTATTCTTCTAAATGAATCTAAAATAAGTCCAGAATTACACTTGAGTTCTCATTAACCGCCTCCTTTCTCATTTTTCTTGATGCGTGTCATAATGGAAATCATATTTCTTATCTCCAGGAACATCAGATGCCACATGGATATTAAAAAATAAAGACTAGCATCCAGTTTGCATCTTGAAGTCTCTGCCACAGTCGCTGTCCCCATGAGGCCAAAACCGACAACTAGTTACAATAGTAAAACTTAAAAGGTTTCATATGTATGATTGTAAGCTGTTCATTCTTCAAATAACTCAATCAGTCACCCAAATATATATATATATATATATATATATATAAATCAGGATTTTACCAGCATTTCTTTAAATTTAATATCCATATGCTTTGAATCATATTCTTTCAATCAAATAATTCGACGGGGATTCAGTAAGGTCGGTAAAAAAGGTAATATTGATGCAAACTGATTATTTTACAATAAGGTAAATGTAATAAAACCATGGTCCTCGGTAACGATCCTCCAAGACAAGTTTTCGGCTCTTAGCAAATAGCAATCGTACAGATGAAATTGCTATGACATCCATGGTGGATCCCGGATACTGACAGTAGACGCCTAGACGGAGAGCTGTAGATGTGTCAGAGAGAGATCATTGTCACGTAAAGGGTGGCTTTTTTCTTTCTCCTTTCGGGACAGCACGAAGGGTCTTAATTTTGGCTGAATCAGAGATTCTCGAAAAGCAATAGAAATTTTCTGAATCAACATTCAGCAGTTGATAGCGGCAAAGTAAATAGTCCAAAACTACGCATGAGCTACCCAAATACCACGACCGACCAATGGACAAAAATGAAAGGACACGTCAATTAGACTTCAAGTCCCGACAGGGAACTGCTGTCAGAAAAATGGCGCATAAAGAATCGGAAAAGGGCAAAAGCAAAGCTCTTCGAATTAAAAGAATGCACAAAATCCAAATTAAAAAGAGGGGAAAAGGGAGGCCGAGAGTAAAAACCAGTCAAGTCCAGATTATAGAAATGGGCAATCTACGCAATTAATAAATACGGTGAAGTAAGTGAAGCTTGGGAGGTAAGAGCTGAGAACCAAAATAACAGGGGATAATTACTAGAAGCGAAACTCAATCCCGAGCCGGAGGTGGAGGATGTAGAACAACGCAGCAAAAACGATGATGACGCGCGAGAAGACGCCTCGATTGGACCTTGCGAGATATTCTTTGTATTATCAATTATCCAATAGCTTCCCCGCCAAGCGTGAACTAAAGGAACTGTTGCCATATTAAAATATGCATAAACAAACAGTTCTCCTGTGTCTACTAACACTTAACCAAAACTAAACCCCTGTACACGCAGAGAGATGGTTCCAGAAAGAGCAACACCGAGAGGAAACGACCCTTAAGAGTTATAATTCTCTCCCTCTCTCTCAATTTTAAAAGCAAAATCTGCGTAGAAGATGCCGCCATTACCTGCTCGTTCACCGACAGCTGACCGGAAATCTATAAGTCTCCTCACCCTGCAGGTTGAGTGGTTCAGATACAGTTATCGGCAGATTCTTTTTTTTTTTTTTTCCGTCTCTTTTGTCTTTTTAGAAGAAGATTGCTACATCACGCAAATGACAAGATAGTTGGAAAATAGAGAAGAGTGATTCTGAGAAGACGACGACTTAGACCTGGGGATGGCGTACCTGGTGTGATAGCAATGGAGGTGGAGGGAAAACGAGAGGCTGTGGCCAAGAAACAATGCTCCGAGTCGCTTTGAGTATCGGAAGGACTGGACAAAATGAACAGTGGGTCACCCGCCTTCAACTTCTTGAACTTGTTAGGTATCGCCATCGATATCTTCAATAAAACACGCGCATCACGAGCCATTCGCGTAACTTTCAGTCTTGTGAATTGTGATCGTCCTCGTTGTCGGAGCCCCGTACAACCAACAGGAAGAAGTCTACTCATTTTCACACTTGTTTATTGTGGGTGTGGAAAATGACGCCCCGAGTTTCAGTCTCGTCCAAACGCCAACTTGAGCAGGGGATGAGCCAGAAATCATGGATGCGCTCAATATAACCTTGACATCAGGCCTGAAAGCTCCCAAGACATTTTCTGGGATGCCTTGACATTCATGAACTGACCATGACACTTGATTTTTACATACCTCCGCATGCAATCCCCTTTTTTACCTTTTTTTTTTTTTTTAAGTAATACTAGTTCTGATACTTGCTTGTTAAATTTTATGTTGGTCTCAATTTATTTTATTTTTTATATTTATTTTTTTAAAAAAATAATTCTTATAATAATAATAGTTTTAGTTACTATACTTTAATTAATAAAAATATTTTAAGAAAGATAACACTTTTATTAATTTATTTAAATTAATCAATTAATTTTTATATTAAAAGTCAGAATGGATTTCAGGTTATTGACATATTTACATGCATATAGGAAAGATGAAAAAACGTAACATGTTATAAAAAATTCGACACGATGTGTTTGCATTTTTTTGACAACAGGGTAAGGCTTTACAGGCTCTTAATTACGTAACAGTAAATCACTAAACAAATGAGCCAAAATAAAACCTTCCCCCGGGTCTAAAAATATTTTCCTCATCTTAATCCTAAGAGCATTGCCAGAAAATAAAAGCTTTACGAGGGAGAGGAAGAATTTCCAAAATAATTGTTTTAAAAAAAAACGGGTTTTTTTATTTCAAGATGTTATAAAGGTGGTTCCCACTTGATTAAGGAGCCAGGTGGTAAAAGAGGAATTAGGGACTCAACAACTTGCCCATTTGGTTGTGAAGAAGGTGAAGATGCAATGCACCTACTTTGAAACTGTAAGAATGCAAGAGAAAGATGGCAATCAGTGCTCCTACCTTCCATATGAGAGGACTTCTTTTCTTTGCAGGGTACATAATGGCTAAAGCGGAATCCACAAAAAGAAGCTGGAATGGAGCTTACTCGCAAAGTTCGATAGAATAATCTGTTTGGTTGTATCTGTTGGGATATATGGACATCAAGATGCAAGAAGCTATTTGGAGAAGAAACAAACTATGAGCACAACAACGCCCAAACAAGTTTCTTTAGGGCCTACTCAGACTTTGATCTCAACAGAAAGTGTGCAAAACTTAACAACAGATATTTGGAGGGCCTAACGTATCAGAGTACACCTGAAGACTTTATGGTTGTCAAGGTAGATGGTTCCGTCCTCAATAATAGTAATAGTGGTTGTGGAGGAGTGATCAAAGATAGAGATATGAACTAGATAGTGGGATTTAGCTATAAATTGTCCAAAGTCCCACCTACTATTGTGGAGCTTATTGGTATAACACAGGGTCTATACCTAAGTTGGACCAAGGGATTTAGGAAAGTTCATCTTCTATTAGATTGTATGGAGGTGCTCAGTTTGACTATCAGAGGTTGCGATCAGAATCACCTGTATCTAGATGTAATTGAGGAAGCCCGGATGCTGCTTTGCAGGGATTGACAAGTCCTAATAAGCCATACCGATCGTAAAGAGCTATATAACGCAGATCACCTAGCACGAGCTACTCATGGAATGGCAGGAGGCTACAAAGTCTTTGAACAACCCCCTTCTTGTGTACTACAAGGAAATGGAGGATGACACAAGATGTTTTGGTTGTTCTGTTTTATTTAGTGTATTTAGGTTTGTAGAGTTGTTGTAGTTTGTTTGGATGGTATCCAGTTTATTGTAAAAAAAAAAGAAAAAGAGCTAGGTGGCTCAACCCATCATGTAAGACCGATTAAGGTCCAATGCGAGCATAATTATTTTGATGGCTTTGGGCTTGAAGACATTACACTGAAGCTTGATGCTCCGAAATTAGCACAAGACACCAACTAGTGTTGGTCCAAGTGGAAGGGACCTAGGCACCTTAAACATCATGTCCTGGGTTTGATCTTTGGGACAGTGTGTATAGAACAAATACTGTTGGGAGGGGTCCCAGCTATGACGTCTGACCGTACCTTGAGAGATTAGTCTCCCACCGTTTGGGTGGAAAAATACTCTAGGTAACCAAAAAAAAAAAATTAGCACAAGACCAGCGTTTTCTTAGTGGCGGACAACATTAGATTTAGATGGAAAGGTTTATAGTTCCAAGAAGCCATAGCTTCCCATATTGTATTTACGGTGACTGCTCGTGTCTTACATATGGGGGAGCTTTGTGTCATTTGACCTAATATGTGTATGCTCAGATAGGAGATAAAATCACAGACACACCACTCCATGATCCATATTCCTAGCTAGATGGTCCCAAAAAATGGACCAAACACAAAGGGAAAAATAAAAGTGTGAATGTAGATCATATTTCTTTCTGGTGGGGGGTTCACATAATAGAACAAGCATGAGGATTATCGTCATTGAACAAGGTGACAGCTTTGTCATTGACAATGGAGGAACCAATGGACTGTTGGTAGTAGCCAAAGTCATCACCATTGTTATAGCCATGATTGTAGTAGTTGTACGAGGAAGCCTTGCTATTAGCAGTAGGCATCGCAGAGGACGAGGTAAGAGGATTATAAAATTTGCTCTCATAATTATAACTGGTCTCATAGTTACCGCTAATGATGCTGTTGCTGTATTGGCGAATAAAACCATGGTACTCAGGGTTATATGGGTATGACCATAACTCTGCCCTTTTACCCATCTTCCTCACTGTCCTCAAAATCTTGTTTTGGTCTGCCCAACCCATCACTGTTACCTTCTGCATGCCCATGTCTACATCAACATCGTCGACTCCTGATACATTATTCACAGATATTAAGTACGCACTCTCATTAAAATCATTATTCTTTGCAAAGTTTATGTATGTTTATTATACCAGGTAACTTTTGAAGAGCTTTCTTAATCTCGGTCTCGCAACCTGCACAGTCCATGTGCACGCAAATCTCCACCATCTGGAAACCAAGACGAGACAAAAGTTGAGTCAGTGAACTGAACACTAGCCAGATGAACATCAAGCTATACCCCGATAAGCCGATTGAGGTAAGCCACATGTACTGCAAATTGATACGTTCTAATTTTCATTTATACGATATATAAGCTATCTTCACAAATGGTGAAAATGACTTTATGTAGTCACGCAAATGAACTTTCGATCAAACTGATGAACCGAGAAGAAAACGTGTGTGTCTGTGTTTTACAAAAGCTTCATATAGACATGCAAAAAGAGCAAAATAGAAAGACTAAAGATTTAGTTATCTAACTGACATGTTTGATATAAATGAGAAACTCGTGGCCTCTATTCTGTCCCAAAGTGCTTGCTATGGCTATATATGAGCTTCTTTGTAATGGCGAGAGAGTGATTATGGTGAATTTATAGGTGCAGAGAAGCCACACTAAGGACGGTAACGGACTTGCAAGGAAAAAATTGGAAGTTAAGAGAATATAATCTTATGGGATGCGCATATCCTCACATTTTTTAATAATCCTTGCTCTTTTTCTCTTGAAGTGGACAACATCATTTGAGTTTTTTTAGATTCTTGGGAAATTGCAACACAAATGGATAGAATTTGTAGGGAAGACTGCAACAACTGTATTATATATTAGTATATGATATAATCTATGTACTGTGTATATTGTTTACAAAGTCAAATTTAATGTTGGGGAATACTGGGCAATTAATTAGTAATAGATGTTGTCATATTTATAAACTTTAAATTTAGAGAGAAGTGTGATTCATTTTATAAATTTTAATTTGAAATTTGTTTAAACATTTAATAATTATTTATTCTTTCTTTTTTGTTGTTCTCATATATTCTTTTTTTTTTATCTTTTTTCTCATTTATTCTAAAGGAATATTTGAAAACAAAATTATATTTCTAACTTATTTATTGTTTTTAACTAATTTTAATTAATTATTTTCTGTAAATTAATTATCCTCTAAATTAATTTTCATTAGGATCAATTGACCAGGGATTGATGAATCAATATATTTTCAAATATGAGAACGACTGGAATTAATATATTAATTAATCACCAGAAAGACGACAACGCGAAATTTAAGTTTAGTAGGTTAGCTAAATTAGTCGAGAGGCTTTGGTTTCTGAGACTACGGGCAAACATTATTGTAACTGGAAATTTCATAGGAAAACTCATTTCTTGATTATGTCTACGCTATTTTTCCAATTACTCAAAGGGAGCCAATGAGGTCTTTTTTTTGCTTTTTGTCATGACAAGTCCACAAAGTTGGAGTGAACGACTTAAAAATACTATTCATTTAAAATAAGATAGTAACTAAAAGATGGTGTACACAATCATGGCTGTCATTCGCTCTAGAGTCGATAACTACAAATGTTATGGTAAGGTACACAGTTTCGACAGCACAAAACTTCGACCATTATCATGTTCTAAAATAGCATATAACCCGTTCTCGGTCCTGACAATCCACTAAAGCTCAAGATGCGGGAAGGGAAAAAATGATGCTATTACCATTTATACTAGGCCACACAAGGAAAGGGAAAAAAAATTGCAGAAAAGAAGAGTAATAATGCAGATTAATATGAGAAGAAAGTACTGCCACATGTTCCTTTACTAGCATTAAATCTAACTTCAGCTTGAAGACATCACGCCGGCCTGGCCTGCCTTGTACATGAAGACATTAGTTTACATGCTAAACTATTATTTATTGAAACCACGTCCCTTTCCTAGGACAGCTCGGGGCAAATGATCAAATATAGCACTCATCTAATCGGCTTTTATGAAGCTGAAATGCCGGGTTAACCCAGGCTCCACAGCTGCACTGCATACCTGCCCAGTTGAAGTAACCCAAACGAGCATTGCAGCCCATACAGAGAAGTTTATCCTCCACGCTACCTTCTTGTACTGCCAAATTCAAACAACATGCATATATATAGTTAGCATGAAGAGTATTATTGTGGGAACAAAGTGAATTATGAAGGGAATGAACAAAGACCTGCTTGCATCCACTTCATGGGCTCGACGAATAAAGAGGTACACTCACTTTGCTTTTCCTTTTCCCATGGGTTGCCACTCCTCTTTTTCCACTTGAAGCTTGAGTCACCTTTTCCATGTTGATGGGAAACTATATTCTCCTCAGAAGCAACAATTCTTCGGCATTTCTTACACCGGTATATGACAGGAGATTTTGTTGTGGTTTTCAACTCTGAGCTACCAGGCTCGGTCATTCGGACTTCCTTAGGAAATATCCTTGACGCACTGCCAATTAAGAAGCAGATAAGTGGAAGGGTGGCTCGTAGCAGTTAGACTAATAACTGAATTGAAAGACAAATGATGATATAACAAGCCGAAGAGTCATCAGAAGTGCATGGAAGTAACGGAAAAGAGAAGTAAAATCTTACTAATTGCCAACACTAGAACATTACAGCATAACCATAATGAAGGTAGTCTTCGATGGGGAAAAAAGACAATTGACAAAGGCAAGAGGGGTTACTACTCATAACCCTAGCTGGGCTTTGTATTTATCGCTTACTAACTAGTAAAGATAACATTTCTGCTTCAAATAATAATTTCAGCTTAATTTCGAGAATAAAATATCCACAAGTTTAAAAGATTAAAAGGCTTCAGAAATAAAACCGAGTATCTACAAAACATTTGTGAGGAGAAATTATCAATCCACATATACATTGATCATCTGCATAAATGTCTTGCAACTAAACCCAAAAAGTCTCATTACTAACGCTTTCGGTGAAGCTTTCAATAAAACTTTGAGATTGAAGGCTTAAACCTTGAAATCTCTTACACTAAACCCAAAAAAAACCAAACATGTCAGAGACCATTCCAGAAAAACCGGGATCAAAACAATCATATTTTGAAATTCATTGAGATACGCACATGATCAGAACACTAATGAAATCTTCCTTATCCAGGTGGACCCCATATGAAAGTAATGGATATTTGATTTTCACAAGCTGTCTTCAATCAATGTGCGTGTATAATTCTTGTAACGGTCCCTTGAGGTTACGATGCTAATTTTTACAAGCCTCTGACCACGGAAAGATACAAGATCTGATGAACACTCAGCCAAGAGCTGAGTTTGGTGAGGATACAGAGGACAAGGTCATCAGGTAGAGAAACCACAACCTCCTCTGCCTCCAGCAACCATGGTTTCCGGCGACTTCTTCAATCTTTTCCGGCTAACAAATGATGATTGTTTGGGAAAAAAATTCAATAAAACACCTATTGTTTGGTCGTATCCCTAATCCCTCTATCCCTATCTTATCTCACTCTCATTGTGAGAAAAGCGAAGTGAGAAGTTATATATACACAACAACGACAAAAAGGAAGGGGTTAAAATGAAGTCGTTTGGTCGGCCTGAACCAGAAATCGATCCTCACCTGCAAGAAATTGTTCGGCCGACTTCCTCTCTGCGGTTTAGGGCTTCGGAGTTTACTTACCCAGAAATCCTTCCCTTGTTGGCGTCCGCGTTACGAGCTTGAGAGCAAACTCCTCTTCGCGATTCCGGGCCGTCAATCGCGGCTTAGGGGGATCGGCCGTATTTTTCCTCCCTCTCTGTGATGAAGTTAAGCCAATATCTCTGAAACATGCAGTTTTTTTGCCCCCCGGCAATGAAGTTTTGTTCGGGAAAAAACCCAATAAAACATCTGTTGCCATGTAAGCAGTCCTACAGATACCACGTGAATGATTTATGGTAAAAAATTTGTCTAATCAACGTTTTAACTGTATTGGACCCCCAAAAAAAAAATTAACTGTGAAAGTTAAATTTGGTTAAATGAAATTACCCCATAAAAATTAATTTAAGATTAAAATTGTACCATACAATTTTCGTGTCTATGTATCTTCATATTTTATTAATATTTCTCTCATATAATAATGATTATTTCATATTTTATTAATTCAAAATGATTTTTCAAAACTAAAACGCGGGCAGCTCTTCTAAGAGACATTCAAACTTTTATTTATTATATTATAAAAGGCTAACTCTTTCTATTAAAATCAAATTTTAATTGTAATTTTGATTTTTTTTTGTTAATTTTATTCGATATATTATCAGGTTTAGTTTTAGAAGTATCGCGCAAGTCATAACAAAACACCACACCCCCTGCTAATAGTGGAGACCTCTTGATTTTGGGCCTTTGAGGTAAGTTCGCATGAGTTATTGTTGGCTCAAATTTCTTCCAAGGCCGGGTGTGATGTGATGGCAATATCAGAGATAATTCTGAGATTTGGATTGTTGGGTTTTGCTGTGAGATGGGTATTTGCGGTGCTGCAGAAACTGGAGAATGGGCGATTTTTAAGGACCTATCCTTGGCACGGTGATTCTAGAATCTGGTTTGAAAGGAAAATATTGAGAGATGCAGTCTAGTGTTTATCAGAATATGCTAGGAAGTGAATTAAAATATACTCTTCCAATCGTCAGGGTTAGGTCTAGCGGAAGGAGTTAGTTCTTCACAACATAACTAACTAAGGTTCGAATTCCCCCGGGAGAGGTGCTTATATTTAGTACCCGACAGTGACTTGAATAGGATTGCCTCCAATAAGAGGATACCTATGTTTTAGTAAAAAAAAAAAAAAAAAGCTCTTCCAATTCTAAACATAAACCCTATTTTATTTTATAGCGTAATTACATTTATTACATTTGCTATCAGATAAGTATATCAAGAGATGACAAGAAGGTAGCAGTTGGGCTTGCAAAGATGGGTATTGCTTTTGGATAATTGTCCTTAGAATTTAAAGACTCTTTTAGGCAATGATTATGCAGGTTTAAATCCTGGTAGTTTATAATATGGGCATTCAGCTCTCTCTTGTGCCAAAAAAAAAAAAGTTTACATGAGGTATTCTTAATTCAATAATTGATAGTAGTTGGATTAGACTACGAACCAAAGCAGGAAGTCAAAGGCTAAGGTTTTGTCGAGACGTCCAAGTCAGTCCGCGCTGTGATTTTAATTAAACAAATCTTCTTTAATTAAAACAGGAGCAACAAACAGGAGCAGTAGTGTTATTATTATTTTTAAATACTGTACACTCGTTTCTTTGCTCATTTTTGGGAAAATAAAAAATGACTGGAGTAATTACAAAAACGGAAATTGGGACCCCCTACAAAAACGTACATAAGTTTTTGACTATAATTAGATTGCAAATGACAACATATTTCAACAAAATACTTGATTTTTAATTTCGCAATTTCTACTTTTTGTTTTTGCGATTTTTCCTTTTACTTTTCCTATTTTGTTTAAAAAATATTTTTTTATATTATATTTTCATTTGTGCAGTTTTTAAATCAGTTTTTAATCTTTGCACGGACAATAGCCAATAGGTTTATAAAAAAAAATGGTGTTTGTACTTTTAGCATGCAGAAGAATAATAATGGTAAATGACTTATAATACATTAGCATTAGCAGTAAAATCTGGAATGAAAATTTTTTTAAACGGTACTCATTTGGTTCTAAATTTAAGACTCATTTTAGAATGTAAATTATTTTTAAAAATGAGTCTTATATTTAGGATCGAAAAAGCATTAAATTAACTTATAATGCGAGGATAATAACATTTCTTGCATAATAGGAAAAAAAAATATAGATTCAATTTATTTTCAGAGATATACTCTTTTATTTAATCACGATATCAAGATGATTGACTAGTGGTTTATTAATTGATTGGTGACTCGTTTATTAATGGAAGTATAATAGAAAAATTTTAATAAATACACTAAGTCCTCCTTAATCTTATAAATTATTAAAAAATACATTAAACCATATTTTTTAATTGTTTTATGCACGATCTGAAGTTCAACTATAAAAGTAACAATTTTGAAGCTTCAACAATAATTTCTGTAATGTGTGTATATATATATATATATATTTCTCTTCCACTTATTATTCCACATGATAAATAGAAGGGACTCATCATCTGGCTTTTATTTTTTTAATGGAATAATCTTCTTTTGCAATGTATTTTGAAAAAGAAAGACGTCCAATCAGGCATTGCAAGGTTGCTATTGAAATCGTATGATGGTTGACACAATCAGCAACCACTAATTAAAACTATTACTGAACTTCTTTGTCTGTGTTGCACTTATAGGATAATGTATAATATTTTCCGTTGGCAAAAAGGAAAAAAATAAAAAGAAAGATAATGTATAATATTTCCACCCCTTCCCAAAAGCCAATAACGGATATAATATTTCTATCACTTCTTCCCAAGGGCAAATGCTCCTTAGTAAAAATAATTAAATGAAAAAGAGAGCTACCGTGAAATAATAAAAAAAAAGACTATATGTGTGTTTAAGATTATATGTTTCCACTTAAATATTAAGATAATATTTATTGAAGAAATTACAATCAAGTTCCACATAAGAAAATAATTACTAAAAGGTCTTAATAACAATCTTAACAGCTTATAAAGACAAGTCTTATAGTGAGAATGACAATATTGGGACTTGTTTTTAATTTTTTTCCTTACTTGGGACCTCCATGTAATTCTCCCATATTTATTTTATCACAAACATCTTCCATTGATATTTTCTTATGACCCTCCTTACTTCCCCTTCAAATCATAAAATCTAGTTGTGTATTATGAGACTTGATTGATAATATCAAGGGCTCATTTAAAATGACAGTTATGAACACTTATAAATATGTTCCATATAAATTGAGATCTTATTCTGTACTAGTATTTCGCAAGCAAATTTAAATTATTGGAATTAAGTTCGTAACTAAAACGACTGAAATGCTTTATTATTCAAACAAAATAAATAAAAAAAATAACCCCAAGAAAAAGGAACGAAGTCCAATGTTCCAGCTGGAGCCTTGAGGGCTTCAAGGATCACGGACCCATAGCCATTGCTTTTTGTCAATCAATACCACTAGCAGTTGAATGACTTGAATCCTTAATTTTCCCACCTCTTCTTTTTTATTCATTCCCAGAGCCATAAATTTAAGTGAGCCTACTAATTTATAGTTTGAGACTTGCACGCCTTAAACACCAATAGAGACGAAAAGATGGACAAGTTAGCCTTCTGCTTATCTGTTCATGGACTGAAGAATAAGCTCTATGAATATTTATAGCGCAATGGTCAACGTTGCTCTATTATTGTTTTGTCCATATAAGCTCTGGAACAGTGGTGAGTCATATAATTTCCTTTCAGTCTTGCTTCTTTCCAAGGCTCTCTGTAACTCTATCGCTAGCACCATCTAAGCTTCCTCGAAAAATCTTGCCTTTTTCCCACATATGAACGATGTCCTTTGCAAATATCAAGATGAAAATGTGGATGTTTAGTAACTGATCTTCCCCTTCCAACCCCTCAATCTTTTTTCTCTCATACGTAATGGAAGTTATGACATACACCATCAACGGAAAACAGAGCAACAAAGCAGGTTTCCAAATCTTCACTCTCCAAAATTATCATTTTGGTTCGCTCCCACAACTCGTCCCCCCGGTTTTCGTCTTCTGCTCCGGAATTAATATCAATAGAAGATCTGTGACTATGGTTTACTGCTCTTATAATTCGGTCTCTTCATCTGGGTCTGATGTCTCGAGGCTGTTCGATCCAACTTCGCATAAAATTGTTGACTCTAATGGGGTTTCACAGAGTAGGCTGGCGTCACCGAATTCGTTGGTCTTGAATAGTCAGAAGGGGGATCTAATTAATTTCCCTATGAAGATAGGAAAGAAAGAGGCGTCGGAGGCAAAAGCTTTGGCTGCTATGAAGAACCACAGTGAAGCAGAGAGAAGAAGAAGGGAGAGAATAAATGGTCATCTCGATGCACTTCGTGGTCTTGTGCCCAGCAATGTGAAGGTAATGTGTGCTTTTCCCTCAACTGGAAATCTTGTTCATTTGGTTATAAGAGCTGGGAGCATTTAACGCTGGCTTTTGGTTTAAGATTCTCCGCAAAACATGACTTTGATATGATTACCCTTAAAGATTCCAGCCAAAATGACTTCACTGAAATGATATTTCTCATTATGTAGAGCTATTGAGTTCTTGCACATTCTTCCTATTATCAGCTGCTAATAAAATGGAAAAATCAATTCAATTCAAATTCAAAGAGGATCAGAACAACCGTCATCTTGATTTAGGCGATAACCAAATCGGAGCTAAGGGAACATTACAAAGCAGGTTAACCCGACAGTGAAAGATCAAAGATGTTTGGCTTGCTGTTGGAATTAAAGGGAAATATATGCCGAGTTTCATCGAATGAATAATGCTATTACTTCATCGTTAGTGGGAAGAATCAATGACAAATTAACAGATTTTAACATATTTTGATCCTGATAATTATTCAACTTCGTGTCCAGCTTTTCAACGATTTCCAGACTCACTTCAATGGTTGTATTTTTAAGTACCGTAACATTATGGCAGATCATGGTTATGGAACACTATGTTGTGGCCCTCTAATAATGCATGCTGATTTATTTTTGTTGCTTTTAAAAGAAAAATGAAGCTGTATGTACTGTGCTGCAAGCACCACAACTAAGATTTGAGGTACATGTTCGTAACTAAACAAACGGTTTTAATTGCATCATTATTGTCCTTGATCGGTGGGCTTATTTTACTAGTTGGTAATGTCAACTATCTGGTGGGTCTCCTATCATATAATGTAAAATTATTTATTATGCATGACATGCGTCTTACATCACTTGGGTATATCTGCTATTCGTTTGAATCGAATAATTTTTCCCGCATCACAAGCTGAAATGAATTAATATTTCTTGTTGGATGTTATTCAAATGTGCAAGTTAACCTAATGGCTAGTGATTTTATTCATTTATTAATATGAATTATTGATTATTAATTGATGAGAGGTTACTGGTTTCAATATTATATCGTTTTATAGGAAAACAATTGTACGCTATGTGCTTGATCATGCACCAGAGTATAGAATGATTCTTTTTCTTGATCAAGTCAAATTTAACAAATTATAAAACATTAATTTGTTTAAAGTCAACTTTGGTGTATTAATCTTATGTCTGTCACTGAAAATGGAGAGCCTTTTCTACTATGAACTAACTTCATTAATTTATTTGCTATTAAGTATTTCTGTCTAAGCAAACCATGATTTCTGGCATGCAGCTTACGAATGATGGAAGACCTGACTTAATATCAGGGCAGAGTGCCAGTTTTTATTCTTCTCAGTGCAATGACAAAATCAAGTTTTATTATATAACATATAATTATATGTGCCTTGCATTTTCTGTTTGTTTCTCTAACTAATAAGCTGCTGCACTAGAAGGAAAACCTATATGTAACCCCTATGTAACTAAGCTTCCAGCATTTAATATTCAAACTCTGCTAGACATCAATTTCTGTTGTTTTTATTTTTATGTAGTCTTTCATAGAATAACCAACTACAAGGAAGCTGAGAATCAACCGCTAGATTAGGCGTTTGCTGTCAGGGAGCTATTCTCTAAAACATGAATCAGCTGAAGTCTGAATGTGGAATTAAGTGGAACACGATTGATTAATCCCAAAAGTTATCATCTGTTTTTTGAGAATGGACATCACTGTATTATAAGTAGATTTATTTTGAACATGTTTCCCTTTTCTTTTGGAAAACATTTGTTGCAGAAGTTGACCTTGAATTGCTGGGTTAATTGTTATGTGCAGATGGATAAAGCAACGTTATTGGGTGAAGTTATCAACCAAGTTAAGTTACTGAAGAAGAATGCAATGGAAGCAAGCAGAGGTTTTCTCATCCCAATGGATGATGATGAAGTTAAAGTTGAACCATACAACGATGAAGGAAGAGGAGGATCAATGTTTTACATGGCATCTATATGTTGTGATTACCGGCCGGAGCTACTATCTGACCTAAGACAAGCTCTTGATGGGCTTCAACTGCAATTAATGAGGGCAGAAATATCAACTTTGGGAGGAAGGGTGAAGAATGTATTTTTCTTTAGGTGCTGCAAAACAGAACATATTAATATTGGGGCATGCCAACTTGTTCCAAGTACTGTCCACCAGGTACTAAGTTCTGTACTGGAGAAGGCTTCTAGCTCACTGGAACACTCCTTGGGAATGTCACTTCGAAGTAAGCGTAGAAGACTTTGCTTCATTGAAACATCAACTTCCTCATGAACTGTGATAAAAATAATACTTATTTCTCTTCTTTTTCTTGGCTATGGGGGAAGTTGGATTCTTCTCCGTTTGTTGTTTTTGGCTCTGAAGGAAAAATATAACGTTAGAATCATGTGGAATGTGCTGCTCATGCTGCTTATGGTCTCCTCTTTCCATTTGATCTCTGGCAGTGAAAATGTGTACTGGTTGGAACATTAAATCTAATCTGCACTGGAAGTCTTGGTTTCCTGTCTTATACATGGAATGGATCCTGAGTAGTGGATCATTGTCAGCATTAATAACTAATGGGAATTATTATTTGTTTTGTAAGTTATTTGTGTGAGAATATGCGTGAATGTATTTGCACATTACTTACAGTTTAAAGCTTGAAGAAATTGAATTTGCACGTCCTTAAGCCGCTTAACGTTCTATGCTTTATGATACTAATCTCATGGGCATCAAAATTTTGTCCAAGTTTGATCTAACTGCGCTATAGCCCTTCCTCAAACTTTATCTCAAGTTCCCTCATTATCATGGGATTCGGATTACTCCTACAATCCAATAGCTCTCTGCCAAAGCCTAGAAGTCGCACGTTTATTTATTTCTATTGAAAGTAATCTTATTTAAGATACTGTCGGATACTAAATGTAAACATATCTTTTAATAGGAATTTAAATCTTGATTCGTTATATTGTAAGACACTAGTCTATTCTACTAGACCCAACTTTTGTTTGTAGGGAGAATAGTTTGTAAGGAGAATAGAATTTCTTTTCCTTGTTCTTTATTATATCTAATATTTTAAACACATTAGCTTTTTGCTTAACATAAACGTTGCACAATAGAGGATCCACAATCACTTTGCAAATAGAATTGAGTTGGCCCTATTAGTTTTTTTTTTTTTGAGTTTCTGGATATAATGTGAAATAGATATATCCAACTATTGAAAAAAAATAGCCTTTCAATTCTTGTACCACTTTTGAGAAGTTATTTTTTAAAGTTGCAGTCAAAATAGATTAATGTTTGATATAGAATTTGAAAAATAATTTGCACTATTTTTAACTCGTAATAACACAAATTGTTGTAGTATTATATCTAAGATCTGTGAAATTTTATATTGCTGTTTCTTGAAAATTAATTTTACATTACGGATTGTAAACACCTTAGGTTTCCTCATAATAGGATATAGTAGGATTAAAAATAAATTGGTAAGGATAGAACATGCGCCCTAGCTGGCATCCCGGCACCAGTGGTCTAGTGGTAGAATAGTACCCTGCCACGGTACAGACCCGGGTTCGATTCCCGGCTGGTGCATTTCCCTTGTCACTTTTTCCATCTGTACTTGTTCTTCAGCCGTACCGTAACGTCTGCGGCCGCCAGTCCAGTCTACGCACTTCGACCTGTGAAGAAGCTTTTAAGGAGAAAACCCTCTTGACTTGAACTTTCTCATGAATATGCAAGCTGATGCTCCAAAGTGGACATATCCACCCATCACCACCTTAGTGGTTCTTGTGCACTTTCATCTTTCTTAGTCTCAAAATCCATCATCACGCCAAAGTGCGACTAAGTCCAACAATACACATTTCATCACCCTATCAACTTGTCTATCTCTTTTGCTGCCACTGCAATTAGACTCTACTGTGGAGTTTCAGTCTTCTGCTACAGATAACTATTTTTTCACTTAGTGGAATGCCCATTCTAATTTCACAGCCCCATTATCCCCACGTGTCTCAAACGCATAACTGTTCAAGGTTTTTCCTGGGAATGAATATGCCTATATGGCACCTATTAGTTAGACGGCATTCATAGCCATAACTAATATTCGGCACTTCACCACTCTATTCTGCTATGGACAAAGACATGTTCTTCTCTTCTTTCCTTTCTTTCAGACTTTCTCTCTTCTTCGTCTTGCTTGTCCTCAAGCTTATCTAATTTTGGGATTTAGATACTGTGGTCCGGTTTGGAACATTAGGCGCTGGGAACTCAAGGAAATTTTTTTTCTTGTTATTAAAAAGATGTGTTGTGTTTTTTTTTTTTGGTTGTGTTTAGCAGTAAGAGATTTGAGTAACTAAATAAGAATATACAAATTTGGGGTATTTTGTTTATGGACTTGAGTACTTAGAAAGTGTGTGTAAAACGAAAGCATTTTCCTCCGTAACTATCCTTTCAGTTGCTTCACACTAGGGATTCTTATGTATCACTTTTCTACTCGTCATTTTCTCATGACAAATGAGAAACAAAGAGCAATTTGTGTTAGGTTAACTGCTGCGGGATTCCATAGAAAAGAG